CTTGCTCTGTTGCCCAGGCTAGAGTGCAGTGGCGCTATCAAGGCTCACTGCAGTCTTGACCTCCCTGGCTCAGGTGATCCTCCCACCTCAGCCTCCCAAATAGCTGGGATTACAGGCGCGTGCCACCATGCCGGGCTAATTTTTGTATTTTTGGTAGAGACAGGGTTTCACCATGTTGCCCAGTCTGGTCTTGAATTCCCGGTCTCAAGCAGTCTTCCAATTTTGGCCTCCCAAAGTGCTGGGATTACAGGTGAGAGCCACCACAATTATAGTCTCCACTGTTCTGCTTAAAGAGTTAAAAAAAGTGATTGGTGTTTACTCCTATCTTCAGCCAACTGAGTCATGCCCTGCTGCCTTCCTTTCTTCATTCTACTCACCTTCCTTCAACATAGATCTTTGTCAGGCACATAACATAAACAAGGGGGCCAGATGCAGTGGCTCACGCCTATAATCCCAGCACTTTCGGAGGCTGAAGCAAGTGGATCACTTGAGGTCAGGAGTTTAAGACCAGCCTGGGCAACAGCCTGTCTCTACAAAAAAAAAAAAAAAAAAAATTAGCTGGGCATGGTGGTATGCACCTGGAGTCCCAACTACTTAGGAGGCCGAGGTGGGAGGATCGCTTGAGGCCAGGAGATTAACGCTGCAGTGAGCCGTGATTGCACCACTGCACTCCAGCCTGGGTGACAGAGTGAGACCCTGTCCCAAAAAATATAAAATAAGAGTAAGAATAAAAGCCAGGTGCAGTGACTCACGCCTGTAATCCCAGCACTTTGGGAGGTCGAGGTGGGCGGATCATGAGGTCAGGAGATCAAGACCATCCTGGCCAACATGGTGAAACCCCGTCTCTAGTGAAAATACAAAAATTAGCTGGCCATGGCAGCGTGTGCCTGTAGTCCCAGCTACTCGGGAGGCTGAGGCAGGAGAATTGCTTGAACCCAGGAGGTGGAGGTTGCAGTTAGCTGAGATCGTGCCACTGCACTCCAGCCTGGGTGACAGAGTGAGACTCCCTCTCAAAAAAAAGAAAAGAATAAAATAGGTGAGAGTTCTTTCCTTTGGGATTCAGAGCCCAGTGAGAGAGAAATACATGCTAAGAGAGATCTAAGACCTTATTGGAGCACAGAGGAGGAAGTTCTTAACTTTGTCTGGAATAGTATAGGATAGCTTTCTGTAGGAGGAGTTCCACAGAGGCTATCAAGCAGACATAGGAAAAAGAGGAGGTAACAGCATGATTCCAAGCAGAAGCAACATCATCATAAATTAAGTGAATGGCATTTTCAAGGATCAGTTGAAGCTTTTTTTGTTTTTGTTTTTGTTTTGAGACAGTCTCGCTCTGTCGCCCAGGCTGGAGTACAATGGTGCGATCTCTGCTTACTGCAAGCTCCGCCTCCCAGGTTCATGCCATTCTCCTGCCTCAGCCTCCCGAGTAGCTGGGACTACAGGCGCCCGCCACCTTGCCCGGCTAATTGTTTGTATTTTTAGTAGAGACAGGATTTCACCGTGTTAGCCAGGCTGGTCTTGATCTCCTGACCTCGTGATCCACCCACCTCTGTTGAAGCATTTTAAGCAGCAGAGTGACATGATCAGATGTGCATTAAAAAAAAAATGATCCTGCCTATGTTTTGGAGACTCTGTTAGAGATTGTAAGACTAGAGGGAAAAGAGACTGATTAAAAAGTTATTAGAGGCTAAGGCCAGGCTAACACCTATAACCCCAGCACTTTGGGATGTCAAGACGGGAGGATCACTTGAGGTCAGGAGTTTGAGACTAGCCGGGCCAACATGGTAATACCCCATCTCTACTAAAAATACAAAAATTGGCCAGGCGTGGTGGCAGGTACCTGTAATTCCAGTTACTCGGGAGGCTGAGGCAGGAGAATCGCTTGAACCTGGGAGACGGAGGTTGCAGTGAGCCAAGATTGCAACATTATACTCCCATAGTGCTGGGATTACAGACGTGGGCCACTGTTTTAAAAAAAATTAGCCGGCTGGGCGCAATGGCTCAAGCCTGTAATCCCAGCACTTTGGGAGGCCGAGACGGGCGGATCGCGAGGTCAGGAGATCGAGAACATCCTGGCTAACACGGTGAAACTAAAAAATACAAAAAACTAGCTGGGTGAGGTGGCGGGCGCCTGTAGTCCCAGCTACTCGGGAGGCTGAGGCAGGAGAATTGCTGTCTCTTATACACATCTAGATGTGTATAAGAGACAGGCTGAGATCCGGTCACTGCACCCCCAGCCTGGGTGACAGAGCAAGGGTCCATCTCAAAGAAAAAAAAAAAAATTAGCCAGGCGGGCTGAGCACAGTGGCTCACGGCTATAATCCCAGCACTTTGGGAAGCCAAGGCGGGCAGATCACGAGGTCAGGAGATTGAGACCATCCTGGCTAACACGGTGAAACCCCGTCTCTACTAAAAATACAAAAAATTAGCTGGGCGTGGTGGCAGGCGCCTGTAGTCCAAGCTACTTGGGAGGCTGAGGCAGGAGAATGGCGTGAACCCAGGAGGCGGAGACTGCAGTGAGCTGAGATTGCGCCATGGCACTCTAGCCTGGGCGACAGAGCAAGACTCTGTCTCAAAAATAAAAAAAAAATTAGCCAGGTTTAGTGGCATACACCAACTATTGTCCCAACTATTCAGGAGGCTGAGGTGGGAGGAGAGCTTGAGCTATGATTGCACCACTGCACTCCAGCCTGGGCAACAGAGCAAGACCCTGTCTCTTAAAAATAAAAACAAAAAAAAAAGATTTTTTTTTTCCCAGAAATGGAATTATTGATGATTTTACTGAGTAGTGACTGTTGTTTGTAGATGATTACCTACATATGTGATGGAGGGGAAAGGGAAGGATTTGTGATGGCAAAAATCAGCCTACTTTTGGATTCTGAATAAATAGTGGTGCTGTTTTTGACACAGTAAATGAAGGAGGAGGTGGGTGCTTAGTAAGTAGTCAGGCATTTGGCTTGGGCATGGTGAGTTTGAGGTGCTTAAGATGGAAATATGGGTATGATTCTTAGGAGAGAGATCATACCAGGAGATGTCAGTATGGCGGTTAATGGTATATATATCAAATATGAATCCATTGGAATAAGTACAATCATCGAGGGACACCGTGTAATGTGAGAAGAGCAGGTGAAAGAGATCAGAACACTAAGGGGCACCAACATTTAAAGGTCATTTGAGGAAAAAGGAGCTAGGGAAGGAGACTGAATTCCATCCCTTCTGCAGAATGAGTGCTGGGAGTGTGGGAAAAAAGTGTGGATGATTCACAAGGCTGTTACTCCACCTGGAAGTTAATCTTCTTTTGGTCCCACTTAGAATATAGTACGAGTGTTATCTTGACATTGCTAGTT